CTACTATGAACCAGGGATGATGCTCAGCCCTGAGAACATGATAATAAGAAGTCCTTGAATTCAAAGAATTATAATCCAGTGGATCAAGCAAAGATATAGAGTTAGGAGATGTGGGTTGATTCAGGCTTTACCACTCTGAACTTAGGCGACTTGACTAAAAATTCTTTGAACTTCAGCTTCCTCATATGTCAAAAGACTGTAATGACAGTAGTAATAATAGTAATAATAATAATAGTAATAATAATGGTCAGTTCACAGGAATGTTGTACTAACTAAATAAAATAATATTTGTGAGGAAAAACGTAGTTGTTATTCTTTTTTTTTTTAAGTTTATTTATTTATTTTTGAGAGAGACAGAGACAGTGTGAGTGGGGGAGGGGCAGAGAGAGAGGGAGACAGAATCCCAAGCAGGCCTGGTGCCTGCCATCGGGCACAGAGCCCCATGTGGGGCTTAAACCCATGAAACAGTGAGATCATGACCAGAGCTGAAACCAACAGTTGGACGCTTAACCGATTGAGCCACCCAGACGCCCCTGCAAGCTATTGTTCTTAATAACAATGTACTGAGATAGGCAAGAATCGATGTCATTACCTCTAACTTTAATAGCTTTGGAAACCAATGTCCAAAATGATTCAGTACCTTGCGCAGAATCACACAGCTGGTTTTGTGGGGTGCTCATTTCGGAACAGAGGTCTCTGCATTCACCCCCTCTTGTACCGCAAGATCTTATACATTCCTGTTTATAAGGGCAGCCCGTCTATTTTAAAAATTATTCTGGAACACATCTGAAAAGCCATAATGTGAGATTAAAAAAAAAAATAAAACCTCTGTTTTGCATTTATCTTGGCAGCTTGGAGAGAACATATTTTTCTGGGCATGTTTGGAAATGGATGATAGTTTTTGATTCTTATCCATATCCTCCAGGCTTTCTTTGGGACACTTCAGAGATTATCTTTGGGATTCAGAAAAGCCTAATGTCATTTTATTTATCAAATCTTCAGGGTGTTAGAAGTTTTGGGTTTTATTTTCCTGTCTGCCATTTCATTATAGCTATTATTTTTCATATATAATATTCATAACTCATTTTGTTGAAGAAGGGATTTCATTTTATGCCAATAAATATGTCTGACTATTGGAAGAGAGAGAAGTGTCTGAGCTGTGAGTGCTGGCAAGAATTATAAGGCATAGTATAGTAAAATAGAACATGGGGATTATGTCATTGTGCTCCTCCGTATAAACTGCACGATTGAGAAGAAAATGGGAATCATCTTCTGCTGAAATTCATCTTGGAAACATCTTCAAAAGCATGTTGGAAATGGATGATAAAATTAAAAGGACATAGTTTATTTTATTTGGAAAATCATAATCCCTTATGAGAGATCTGGGTAAAAAGACTTTATAGTTTTGGCTTTGTTCAAGATTCCTTGACTCATTGGGTGGCTTGAGAAATTGATTTAATTCTCTTGAACTCACTGTCCTTGAAAATTTGAATAATCATACCTTGTAACACTGTACTTGGCATTTGGGAGTTAATTATATTAATGGCTGGTGTTTGTTGTATGATTACTATGTGCCAGACCACATGCTAAACATGTTGTAGGTATCACTCATTTAATCCTCTCCATACTCTGGGAAGGGTGTACAATTATTGTTTCTATTTTATAGATCAGAAAACAGTGGTAGGAATTTTTCAGTGTATTATAATCATATGTTTACATGTTGGTCTTTTCCTCCGAACCTGCATTTATAAAGGGTAGGCATTGAACTCTTATGGCATCTGCCACAGCCAGCAAAGACTCTGGTTCATAGGTAGTCAATAAATATGATCTAACCTGTGCTTCAGGAAACCACTGTGTGTAGGATGAACAGAAGTGCAGAAGGATGAGCAAGAGAAAGAGCTGAGACTTTTTCAATTGTTTAGGAAAAATCAAATAATGTATATTTGGATAATGTATGTAGAAAAAGAAATGTAAGGGGAAATGAAATGATAAATAGTTAAGTGATTAAATATTTTAAAAGTAAGAATCTGTACATCAATTAATAAAAAATATCATTGGATATTAGAGCTTTGAGTAGTGATTTGAAGAAGAAATAGGATAAACAGTATGAGGATAATACAAGTTGCATTTTCTAATAAGTAAATGATTTTAACAGCTATTTAAAAGTCTGTCTAATTTCAACATCTGTACTTATGGCTATAGATTTATTGTTCTTTTCTCTTGAGAAATGTCAAGATTCTCCTGGTTCTTCATATGTTGAATAATTTTGGATTTAATCCTGGACGTTTTGAATGTTTGTTTTACGACTCTAGGTCTTGTTTAAATCCTATGGAGGATGTTTGTTTGTTTACTTGTTTTAGCAGGCAATCAAGCAGGCAAATTGAGGTTTGGTTGCAATTTCCTACTCTGCCTTTGTTGGTGGTGATTCCAAAATGAGTTGTTTTCAAAGCTTTTCCTGGACTACTTGGGTCAGTCCCATTCATGTTAACACCCAGAGAGCAGTCTGAGACTTGGGCAGCAGTCCACCCTGTAGATCAATTCTGAGTGCCTTCCGTATGTGGTTTAGGGTCAGATCCACTCATGTGCAGCTCAGGGATGGACACAGGAGTTCGTACACAGTATTGTGATCACTTTCTTGAACTTGCTTCTCTTCATGAGAATCTTTCCTGCTCCTAGTCACCCTCTTCCTGGTCTTCTGATGGATAGCCACAGCTTTAGTTTTCCTGGTTATGCACTTTCTGCAACTGTGTCTGCTACTGGGACCAAGTAGTGAGAGGTCACAGAGAAAAGAATGACAGGGATTTCTCTCACACTCTTGGATCTATGGTTCCTCTGGCCAGAGAGGAGCGTTCCTTCCTTCTGAGTTGTAGGCATTTTCTGAGCTATTGTTATTTCTGTGCCAGGGCTTGGGACAAGAGAGGGAAAAAAACCCAAAGGATTTCCCCAATTTTTTCTGACCTATAATAGGCCATTTTCTACTCATCAGACAAGAAAGACAGGGCTTCTCCTGGAACACTTTCTGTATGCACCTGTTATATTTCTGGATTTCATGTTGCCTTTGAGTCTACACTGGAAAAAAAGTAGATTTAAAGAAAAGAGAAACTCACCCCCAGTTTAGTCGTTCTCAGAGATCTGTTTGTCTTGCCCAATGAACTTGCTACCATTTCCTTTTCAAAGTCCTCAGGTAGCTGCTCCAGATATCTTCTCCAAGGGTTTTAGTTGCATTCAGAAGGAGAGGCAGGGTGAGGTATGCTTTCTCCATCTTATTTGGAAAGCAGAGAGTGCTTCTTTGTTCTAAAGTGTTTTAATGTAGGGTTCCTTAAGATGAAGGACTTTCTCTTATAGGACTATAATGTAATCAAAATCAAGAAACTTAATATTCTTATAAAATCATTTTCTAACCCGCAGTCAATATTAAATTCTATCAGTTGCCCCAATAATTTCCTTTATAGTCATTGTTTTCCTTGATCAAGGGTCTCTTTAAAGATCATGCGTTGAATTTAGTTGTCTTGACTCCTTTTTCTCCTTTAATCTTGTACAGTTCTTTTGCCTTTCTTTGTCTTTTATGACCATGGCATTTTAAAGAGCACAGGGCAATTATTTTGTAGGATATCCTTAAATTTGTGTTTGATGTTTCCCAATGTTTAGGTTCAGGCTAACTATTATTGGCAGCAATGCCACACGTGAGATTCTGTGTTTTTGTTTTTGTGTTTTTTTAATGTACACCCTCGGAGGTAGATAATGTCTATTTGCACCATTACAGGGTTGTTATCTTTGATCCCTTGGTTAAGGTGTTGGTTAACAGTTTTTTCTATTGTAAAGTTACTATTTTTTGTGAGGGTTTTTAAAGGCTGGAGTTTGAATATGATCATAAGATTATAAGGAAAACTCCAGTGTTGTCGAATAAAATGCTTTGCAATAGGGCTCTTGGGTGGCTTAGTTGGTTGAGTGACAGACTCTATTTCAGCTAAGGTAATGATCTCCCAGTGGTGAGATCGAGCCCCATGTCAGGCTCCATGCTAGGTGTGGAGCCTGCTTGAGATTCTCTCTCCCCCTCTCTCTGTCCTTCCCCTGCTCACACATGTGCATGCTCTCTCTCTCACTCTGAAAATAAACATTAAAAAAAGAGAATGCTTTGCAATAATGGAATGATCAATTCTGCACTGTGCAATATGGTAGCCATTGCCACATGGCAATGCTATTCAAAAGTTCTTGAGCCTAGCACTGTAGCCACTAAAAGTGGCTAGCACAACCAAGAAAATTTAAAGTATATTAATTTGAATTTCAAAAATTCCACAGAGCACCCTAGCCTACCATATTCTTTCTTTTTTTTAAGTTTATTTTTGAGAAAGAGAGAGAGAGAGAGAGAGAGCATGCACATGTGAGCAGGGGAGGGGCAGAGGGAGGAAGAGAGAGAAAGAGTCCCAAGTAGGTTCCACACTGTCAGCACAGACTGTCACACGGGGCTCGATCTCCCATGAGATCATGACCTGGGCTGAAATCAAGAGTCAGAAGCTTAACTGACTGAGCCACTCAGGCACCCCTACACTACCATATTCTAAAGAGATTTTTTTTTAATACTTTGGTTTTCTGAAATGCTCTGAGAAAAAAAAAAAAAAAGAGTACCATGATCAAATAAGTTAGGGATCATTCTAGAAGGCATACTTGGAGAAACACAAATACTATATGCTGCCATCTAGAAATCTATACATTGTTTTTCATTTGGCCTAGTGCTAAATTTAGTAGGTAAAATTGTCAGATAATTACTCTGTGAGTCCCCACACAACTTCTTAACTGGTTTGTGTTAATGACTTGCTGAACAACATAGCCAAGTCAGCGGCAATGGTGGGATTTATATCTAGGCCCTCATCTGACTCAAAAAGCTGAAGTATTTCTGGCACACCAGAAATAGTAATGGAGAAAATGGTATTGAAGTTCAGATTGCCTCATAAAATTTTGTCTAAGGTTGATGAAGGCAAGAATTCCTCAAAGGCATGTTGCATAGTATTTGGATTCCATGTTAGCAATGCAAAAACAGGAAATGTTTAGCATTCACAGAATATGGTCATAGTAGTCCTTTTTAGGGAATTAATATTAATATTAATGGCCCCTGTCTAGCCACAGCATAGCTTTTGAGGAGGTGTTTCTTTCTATTTAAATAGACAAAATCCCAGAACAGAGTAGTAGGTTAATGCCTTAGTCAAAGTCATTCAGAGCAAATATTCTCATGCAAATATAGTTATCACAAAAGGGTCTAAGTGTCTCTCAAAATCACATGCAGAATCAGCTACTGAAGGAAATGTAGGATGGTTAGAAAGCATGAGGGAAGGAGGCTTGGAGAGGCGCGAAAAGAGAACAATACGCAGAGAAAAAGAAATCTTGAGCCAGAGACTAGAAGCAGCAATTGGCTGGTTTGAATTAGAGAGGAGCGAGCAGTATACATTGTCTTCATTCTTTTTCTTCAGTGGAAGTTCCTTTGGGAAACTCTTTGCTGAGCCACGTTGGAGAAGTTTCATTCCTGTAACTGTAAGTGTTGTTTTAACTGGCTTACCCCAGTGGTTGAGAGCTGTGGTTTGAAGATTTTTCAAGCAAAGGAACTTTGTCTGGTTGATGAGTTCAAAATTCAGATACAATCTTGAAAGTGGTAACAAGCCACTTTTTTTGTCTGAAGCTATAATTCTTGAAGGTAATTGGGTTTAGAAGCAGAAGTATTTGGGAGATTGATTTCATCCTCAATAAAAGTACATTTTACTTTCTTTTAAGGTGCACAGTGGAAGTCGTGACCCAGAAATGCCCCTATAAGACATTACAGATGGCTATTTTCATGTGCTGTTTGGCACATGTTCAGGAAAACCACAGGGGAAAATTGGCTTGAGATGCTTGTGCTTTAAGGTATACGCTGCGATACTTTGTAAAGATTCATTTTCTTGCCAAATATAACATTCAGTTACCAACTGGAAGTGTAAAAGTTCATATTTTCATGAAAATCTTACCAATGAGTTTAACAGGCCTGCTTAATTAGGTTTCATTTTTTCCATTCTTCAGTGCCTACTTAATTTACCACTAGAGGGCATTGTTGACAGTGATATCAAGGGAAAGCAAAACAAAGAATTTTGCCTAAATGTATTCTGAGATCTTTTTTAAAATTTTCATTTCAGCCAGTAAATAATAACGTGCATTCAAAGGCTGCTTTATTTGCTGTTTTGCTATTATATTTCACACCCCAGATACTTAACTTCTAGACTTTTTTGGGGGGGTGCATTAATTTAATAAAAGATAAATCCTTGCACAGTTTTGTTCTGGATTTCTCACAAACTCTAAATTTAGAACCTACCTTTCCCCCCTGTAATGTTATACATTCTTGCACATCCTCATGTGGAATGTTATCGAGCACTTGGGGACTCATTATTTTTTATTTTCTAAATCATGAAACAACTCTATTTTCCAAATCAAACATTTTCTGATATTTGTCAGAGGATCTTGGAGTGGGAAGGGGCCCATTTATTATAATAGATAACATCTCTTTTATATACTGAGGGGCGGTCTAAATCTAAAAATGATAAGAGAAGTTCTTTCCATTTTGGGGACAGCTATATTATTTATTAGATGTTCTTCATGTGAAGAGAAAAGTTTGCCTCTTTGGAGTTTATTGTATTGGACAATATCCTTAACTTGCAAGTAATAGAAACCAAGTCAGGAATGCTTATGTAAAAAAAAGTGGATGGGGTAGGGGGAATTTATTGTCAAGAAACAGAGATGGCTCATGGGCTGTGGCTAACCTAAAATCTGGAAACTATAGACTTGTCAGGACACACTCATTGTCTTGTTCTGCTTCTCTGTCGTTACCTCACTCTGTTCTCTCTGTATTTCGGTACTCTCTGCTTCTTGAATTCTCATGGCAAAATATGCCATTTGAATGAGTAAAAATGACAAAAGATCTTTTGTTACCTAAGAGTAGGCCATCCCAGCATTCCATAAAGCCAACTACCTCTGAATGGTGTAATATGTGAAGTGATCAGCGGTTCCTGTGGTTGTGGGCTCCCTTCCACATTACTTTCATGGTGAAGTAGGTCTTCTGGTTGGATGCCTTGTTGTGTGGGTTTCCAGGCCTAGGGTTGAGGTGCTCCATAAACCCCTGATAGTGGTCCTGGCTGAAACTCTGCAGGGAGGAAAGGGAAACATATACCTGAAATAATGTATCTATTCCTGTGAAGGTGAATGGCTGGTCTTTTCAACATGGAAAAGATCCATGTAGCCAACTTGTTACTAAGTGGCTGGTTGATTTCTCCAAGGAATGATGCCATACTGGGGCTTCACTGTTGTTCTGTTGCTGACAAGTTAAATTTTCAAAGTCAGCAGTAGCTATTTGGCATTGGTAAGCAGGGTCCATGCTCTTGGGCTTCTGTTTCTGCCACCATGTCCACTCTGTTCATGTGTCCATCATACCTACTCTGGGTGACTGATGACAAGATTGGCTAGAAGATCAAGTGGCTAGTCATTTGTTTTCTTGGCTATTCAGGGCTTTTTCCATGGTAGATACTTTCTAGCCAGTACCCACATGTAATACACAAGTCTTGACACTTTATGCTATTATCTTTGTATGTCTATCCACAGACCTCCTTGTCTCTGATCTTCCAGTTTTTTCCTTCCAGTTTCCTAAGTAGATAATCAGGCTATTGGCCACTGCTGTGGCATCTCTATATAGTCTCACCTTGGGGCACTTCTCCTTCCACCCAAAGTGAATGACCAGCTGCTCACAGCTCTACCATTGGGAAGATTTCCCTCTCAGCTGTCTTACCACGTCTAGCACAGAGATGCTTAAGCTTTAGTTTGCTTTAGAAACATCTGGAAGCCTTTTTAAAACACTGCTGGGATCAACCTCGAGAGTTTCTGATTTGTAAATCTGGGATAGGAATCAAGACTTCATTTCTAACAAGTTTCTAGGTGATGTGGATATAACTGGTCTGGAGCTATACTCTGGAAATCACTGCTCTAGAGATTATATTAGAGTCTTTGAGGACTATTTTACCACTTAATGAACAATGTAAAAATCTCTAAAATTTCCCTTATTTTATAATGGCCTTTTTGGGGGGCTATTTTTATCTTGTATTTTACTTCTACCTATATTATAAACTCCACCTCATGTATTGTTTCTATCATTAAAATTTTTTTTTAATGTTTATTTATTCTTGAGAGAGAGAGAGAGAGAGAGAGAGAGAGCGCTAGGGAGAGGGGGCAGAGAAAGAGAGGGAGACACAGAATCCCAAGCAGGCTCCAGACTCTAAGCTGTCAGCACAGAGCCCAATGCGGGGCTCAAATTCATGAACTGAGAGATAATGACCCGAGCTGAAGCCAGACGCTTAACAGACTGAGCTATCCAGGAGCCCCTATCATTTTGTTGTTTTCAGTAGTCACTAGTCTTCTAAAAAGTTTTAAAAGAATTAGTCTTTTACCTTTATCCATATCTGGAGGTCTTTATTCTTTTTTAAAACAATTCCACACTTCTATTTGGAATAATTTACTTTCATGCTGAAGAACTTATTTTAGAATTTTTAAAAATAAGTTTATTTATTTAAGAGAGAGAGAAAGAGAGAGAGAGAGAGAGAGAGAACAAGCAGGGGAGGAGCAGGGGAGAGGGAGAGATAAAAATCCCAAGCAGGCTATGCACTGTCAGTTCAGAGACTGATGTGGGGCTCAAACTCACAAACCATGAGATCATGACCCGAGCTGAGGTCAGACGTTTAACTGACTGAGCCACCCAGGTGCCCCTAGAATTTTTTTTTATATTATAGGTATGCTGGTGAAAAATTCCCTCAGTTTTGGTCTGTTTGAAAATGTCTTTATTTCACCTTTACTTCTGAAACATATTTTTACTGGGTAAAGAATTCTAGGTTGGCAGTTTTCTTTTACTTTTCTTCCAGTGCTTTAAAGATATCATTTAATTGTCTTTTGGCCTCCATCATTCATATAATTTTTCCCTTGAAGATGTATCCTTTTACTTTGGCTACTTTAAAAACTTTCTTTTATTTTTAGTTTTTAACAGTTAAGTATAATGTTCTTAGAATTTTTCCTTTGTATTCATTTTATTTGGAATTCATTGAGCTTCTTGCATCTGTGGTGGTGTCCTTCATCAGCTTGGGAAAATTCATAGACATTATCTCTTCAAATATTTCTTTTCCCCATTCCTTCTCTCCTCTTCTTCTAGAACTCTAATCACACATATGGTAGACCATTTGACCATGTCTTTTCTTTTTTTAAAAAAATCTTTTCCTACTTGTGATTCAGTGTGAATAATTTATTTTGAGCTGCCTTTGAATTCACTGAATCATTCTATAGAATCATAATTTCCTATATGGTATAGTTCTAGAAAGTTCATTTGGCTCTTTTCAGAGATTTCATTTCTCTCCTTAAATTCTTCATATTTTTATCCATTTTGTCCATCTTTTCCTCTATTTTATTTACAATATTTATAATAGTTATCTTGATATGTCAGTTAATTTCAACTTCTGAAAATCTATAGATTTGCTTCTATTATTTTCTTTTAAAAATTTTTTTTAAAAATGTTTATTTTTGAGAGAGAGTGAGCTAGAGAGAGAATGTGCATGCATGAGCAAGTGGGGAAGGGGCAGAGAGAGAGGGGAACAGAATCCAAAGTAGGCTCCAGGCTCTGAGCTGTCAGCACAGAGCCTTACGTGGGGCTCTAACTCATTTACTAGCAGATCATGACCTGAGTGGAAGTCAGATGCTTAACCGACTGACCACCCAGGTGCCTCTGCTTCTGTTATTTTCTTGATTGCAAGTCACATTTTCTTGCTCCTTTGCATGTCTTTTTTTTATTTTGAATTTTAAAAATTTTATGCTGGACATTATATAAAAAGGTGTTAGATATTGACAGAAAGATATTTCTGTCCAGGTAGGGCACACTTTTTCCTCTATCAGGCAGCAAGGTTGAGGGGTTATTCACTTCACTTCCATCAGTAATTGAATTGGGAGGGGAATATTATAGTTTTAGGTTGCTTTAGTTCCCATCTGGTTTCAAATGTATTGAGAATGAGATCTGTTCTGTGTTCAGTACATGTGTTCCCTGTCTCTGACTTTGGGATTTAATCACTATGGGATGATGGAGATCTTTCTTTACCTTTTTCACCAGTGCCCTAGCTTCTCAAACTGCCCATCATTTATAAAAAACTTGGAGGTAAAGACCGATTGGTGGGGAGTACTGCTTATTCTTTTGAGGGGATCCTCTAGATGCTAAGATATCACTCAAACTCATGTGTCTATTTTAGATTCTCTTAGAATAACCTTTCCCTCAAAAGAATTCCTTTTCTTATGGTGAGCTCAATCACCTACCCATCTATCCCAAACTCAGCAAATGCTACCAGGGAGGAAATGATTCTTCCCTATCTGGAATTTAATTCCTTTAGACCTCTTTGCATCCATTTATGTATTTATTTATTTATTTATTTTTAGCTTTTCAATTTCCTGTACTTGGTATAGCAAAAATTATGCTTGGCTACAGCCTTTTACATTACAACCTAAAAGAAAACTCATCTAAATTATTTGTAATCCTTATGAAAACCAGGCAAATTAGATATTTTCATATTTATTTAAAGATTAAGATGAAGCTTAGAATGGACCAACTGCCTAACATTATCCTATTTAGAAGCAACAGAATTAGAATTTCAGTGCAGTTTGAACTTTCAATGCCAGAAGAACATGTGCCCACCTCCCTTCCCCAACCTGTCCCTCTTCTGTTTCCATTATTATGGCAGTACTTTAAGGTGACTCAGGAAAAAAAATGTTCTATGGTCAAATCAATCTAAGAAATGCAGTAGGCCATCTCCCTTGCTTTAAGAGTCATCATCTCCATCAGTATGTTAAAGGTCCTACAGTAAAAAACTGGTTTACACAATGTTTTCTACACTTATTTGACCTCAGGACTTCTCTCCACCTCAGCAAATAATATTTATTAATACTCCACAGAACTAGAGTTATGTGAAGTACATTCTGCACAAAATATACATTATTCTGACTCCCAGATTCTGCTGATTATGTAATCCTAAAAGGTCATTTATGCATTATTTTATAATAATTCACCAAAGCATTTGACAAAAGTCTACAGTGTTAAATTTTATTAATTTTATTAGTCCCTATAGAAGAAACACACATTTAACTGAATATTTAGAATAAATCTACTTTAAGTCATGCATTTTAAAAAAGAAAAATGGTAAATATGAGAGAAAAAAACAGCATAATAAAATATATTGTTTTATTTAGGATATAGTCTTACCTGAATTATGAAGTAAGTTGCTCCAACACCAGTAATGAGTCATTTTGTAGCATATAAAAATGCTCCTTTAGAAGTATTTTATATCAAAGAAGGGGCCAACATGGTGGAGAAGTAGGGGGATACGAACTTCCTGACTCTTTCAAACAAAGAAATGTTGAAGTCAAAGGACTTTGAACCCCAAGAGTCTGGGAGGAAAAGCGACTGAGTCCCTACCAGGGATACACTGGGACAACCTGACAGGCCATAGATACATGACTGTAAACTGTGAGAGATAAAATGAACGGAGGGGAGGGATCCCCTCCTGCAGAGAGACAAAGGGAAGAGAGAGAGGGAAGAGAAAGAGCAGCTGAGGAAGCATAGGACTGTATCTGGACAACAGAAAAACGTCAGACTGGGATGGAGAAAGAGCCAGCCTCTAACTGAGGGGCTTTCTCCGGATTAGGCCTGGCTGCCCTGTTCACTCACCTGGGGAGGAGGGGAGCCAGCCCCGGGCTCAGTGGCTAGGTCAGGGGCACAGTACACAGTAGGAGAAAGCCATCCCCTCCCTGGAGTGCTGCAGGACAGGACAAAGGCTGTCTGGGGACCACATATCAGGGCACTGTACTTCCCCAGTACTGGGGCACACAGAGCAGGAGTTTGAATACCAGCCACGTGTCAGGGAATGGGAGTTGGTGGAGCCAGATAAACTGCCTCGTTTGCACCACAGCACAGTGAGGACGGCTCATACAGAGTGGTTTGGGACACCAGGTCCGTGGAGGAGAGACTGGGGGGTCGCCATTTTTCTCCCTACCACCACCAAGGCGGGGCCTCAGGGATGGGTCCCTGAGGCCCACAGTGGAGGCAGGACCTGCCTACACCAAACCACTCCC